TAAAAATTCACACATGACCCAGCTGTTGGCAAGCAGCACAGCATTGCACCAAATTTACACTCTTGCAATGCCTTGTCAGTTGTCTCCAGCTGAGAGAGTACAAAGGAAGACCAAGGTGAAAGATCTTCTGTGTAAAATCTTTGACTGCAAGAGGAACAGATTGCAGTGCATGAAGCATATCGGCCAGTTGGCCCAGCTGTTGCCAAAACTTCTGTGTGTCCAGTTGGTCACGGGGCACTCTCTCCTGGGATGATTTGAGGAAAGTGGCACGTGCAGTGAATTCCCAGCCAAATCAACAGTCAAAATTAGCTTCAATAGTTGCCATTCGGAGAAAACTTCCTCCAGCGTCCCCTTGGAGAGCATTCCTCACCTCAGAGAGGACTGCAGATGAGGAGGCGATAATCCAAAGATTTGGCTCCTAATGTGCAAGCAAAGAATTTTCTTTTCAGTGCATTAGTTCTGCATTTCTTAACACCTCTGTAGGGTGAATATTAAGGATTTCTTTCATATTGATATACAGTAGACTTAAATTTGTTGTTAAGATCTAGACATAATAGGAGAAAAATGCAACTATTTAAAGAGCAATTAATTTTGATATTCCAATTACTTATTCCTAAAATAGTTGGCTGAATACTTTTCCCCCAGATGATATCGCACAACTATATTTTGACGTAAACAAAGTGGCAGGTGCAGTGAATTCCCAGTCAAATCAACAGTCAATATTTATAGCAGCATGTAGTTGCCAACAGGAGAATTTCCAAGACTTTCAGCTTTGTGTTACATAGAGGAGTAAGACAGTTTGAAATTGAGAAAACTGAAATAGTTTGCTAAATTGTTTTTTTCCTCAGATGTGATTACTTAACTCTATTTTCATGTAAATTCCAGAGGAAAAAAACGTTCATTTAATTGTTCTGTTGACTATTTAAGGAGATATGAGACAACAAAAACAATGGTTTGATAGTAATTTTGAGTAATCAATAATTATTTAATAATATTATTATTATTAATTATTATTAATGTCACATGCTTGTCAAAACAAGGTTTGCCTTCTGTACAAGAACCAGTGTTTAGCCTAAAATTTGAAATATAAGGTCCTTGGTCCGCGACTTTTCTGAACATGTTGAAAAATTCCATCTAGAAAAAAATTAGGTGAAAAATGAATGTACCCGACAATTTATTCATTAGTTTTCTTTCATATCGCAAAGTTTCGGCTTTTCTTCTGTTGCTCCTTGGTAGTACTGTTTGTTTTTCTGTGTTTGATGCTATAAAACTTAAGCAGCTTTCTCTCCAATTTTGCACACCGGTTAACCTTTAGGAATGGAAGGGTTTGGAAAACTCCTGGGCCAAGTTGTTCAAAGGCCGTTCAAGACCAGTTTCTTTTTCTTCTGTTGAAAAATTTTTTGGGATAATTTTCTCTATTCTTTTTAGAGCATCCAGTCATCACATTATAGGCAAAGAGATACAATTATGCTATAAATTAATACTTAGTGCTCTGCGTAGGTAAAAATAAAAAATACAGCACCTTTTCACTCTATGAAAAATCAAAATATAGAGGATATATTCAGTGTGGTAGAAAATAATTAATAAAAACTCTGTATGTATTCAAGATAAATTAAATTAAAATTAAATTAAAATTAAAACTTTAATAAATACTCCCAAAAATAAGGTTTTTCAGTACCTATTTACAAATATAAATGCAAGCTATATCTAACAAGCTAATTATTGTTAAATGCTAACGGTCATTCGATCATTCATTCATTACAAGTTTCAGGGCTTTCTTAAAGGCCTTTACAGTTGTAGCATTTCTAAGGTCTTCATTTAACGTGTTCCAAAGGGATACTGCTCTATAGGCGAAGGTACGTTGGCCAGTGGCTGACCTGAATAATGGGATTTCGAACTTCTCATTATTACGGGTTTTGCGAATATGTACTGAAGATCTTTTTTCAAACTTAGCACATAGGTATTCAGGAGCTAAATTGCTGGCACACTTATAAGCCATAACAGCGTCTCTGAATTTGAGCATCTTGCTAACTGAAAGCCAGTTGAGTTCGTCAAGTAATGGCGTCACGTGGTCATCTTTCCGAGCACCGCAGATAATTTTGCAGGCGAAATTCTGAATAAGTTGCAGCTTTTGGATGTTCTTAGATGAGGTATTAGACCACACGGTCGAACAGTAGAGCATTTTGCTAAAGACAAGAGATGTAATAATTAAAACCAAAGTCTTTCTATCAAAACAATATTTCATGCGGTTGATAAGATATTAAGAAAAGAGAACTTCGAAACATGTATAAGGAATATTTTAATACATCCCTTTTATCAATCAGAAGGTTTCATTTATTTTGCAAAATGTAATTACACCAAAGTCACAGGTTGCAGACCAAGGACCACTATGCGAAATTTGGTGATAGTTTTCAAGAGTCGTTAAAACAAAAAATTCAAAGTCTTCAGCAAATTTGCTTCCAACGGCAGAAAAAGTTTTATCTGAAAACCTGTCCTGCAAAAAGGCACGTCTTCCTGTTGCATTTTATTTATTCACAAGCAAAGTAAACATGACCACGTAATTTATGGTGCCGCAAAAGTACATGTACGAACTTCAAGAAAGACGAATTAACTTACTGTCAACAAGCTTGAATGTCACGTCTTCAGGTTTAGTTAAAACAGCAACACCATGGGGTTTTGTCCACAGACTCAATAATAATTTGACCAACACACTCTCTTTCACCTCGCTGTTCAATATCCTTAGTTTTTAGCAGTGGAGGGGTAAACACAAAATGATTTTTACACCTGGCATGAATTTTCTGCAATAAGGTAGTCTAGATTGTTGGATACTGTAAGTCATGAGAAACAGCTATGAATGCAGTCTCTGCAACAGAAACAATACTGAGTCTTAGAACTTAGCTTTTGGCTTGGGACACAAGGAAGCCCAAATCAGCTGGAATTTCATAGAAGTGTGTTATTTTACAATTGTCCTTTCTGAGTTCATTGACCATGAAGTGAAATTTTGCTACAACCAGTTGCAAAAATGTCGAGACACTTGACCCGGAAAACACTCTTTCTTCCTAAACATCGCATAAAATCCTACATTTCTAAGATTAAGCAACTCCCCTCACCCTCCCCTATTTTCAATGTTGTTCTTCGAAAATTTCAGCATGATCTCCTATTGTGACCAACTTTGAGAAGGGAGAGGGGGGGGGTCTAAAATGCGAGGGCCTTATAAGTACCCTTGACGTCCAAATTAGGTACAATGTCTCAAGTCTTTTTGCAACTGGTTGTCTAAATGCAGAGGTAAGTTGTTATTCGATTTCGCGGTTGTCTTAGAAGACCGGGAAATTTGCACAGGTTATTCGTTAAAGAGAACGTCTGCTTAGTACATTGATACACATTTGAGGTTTCTAATTGCACGTTCTATACTCCAAAAACCTCCTTCGAATTCGTCCAATTTTTTACTTTTTGTTTGTGACGTAACGTAGCACATGCTCTTCTGTCGTGGCATAAAACAACATGGTTTACACAGGAAAAATAGACGCTGAAAGCAAGGCATATGTGAGATTTCTTCGTGAAGAAGGTGACTTGACTGTGCAGGAAATAGTAGATCTCTGTCGAATATCTCGCTCACCTATTTATCGTTGTTTAAACGCAAAGAAATGCGAGAAAGATAGAAAGCTACGAGGGAGGCCTCGGCTAATCAGTCCGCGGGATGAACGAATTATCGTACGAAATATTGCAAGGCTCCGCTAAGCGGAAGGAAATTTTTCATGTCACCAATTACGAGCCGAATTGGGATTACATCATGTTTCTTTGTGCACCATGAATCGAACTTTAAAGCGGCTGGGGTATGGCTTCATGGAAGCAAGAAGGAAAGGAATACTAACTGAAAAGGATTACGCAGAGAGACGTCAATTTGCGCGAACTGTTCAAAGGAGTTATTCTAAAGACTTTTTTAAAACTGACATTTGTTTCTACCTCGATGGGGTGAGTTTTTATCATAAAAGCAATCCTATGAATGGTGCAAGAGCTCCTCACGGGAAGGTTTGGCGTAAGCGAAATGAAGGACACATATACTGCGAAGGGTTCTCATGTGGGCTCAGGGGGGAGAGTTGTAAAAATGATTGTTGCTATGTCATACGGAAAGGGTGTTATTTATTGTGAACAGTATGATAAGCTGGATGGCAATTTTGTGGCGGATTTTGTGCGAAGAAATTTCCCTAAAATGTTCAGAAAGAGCGGTAAACGTGGCTCGAAGCTGTTTGTGCAAGATAATTGTCCTATTTTGAACTGTGCAAAGGCGAGAAAAGCTTTGAAAGATGTTGGTGGCAAGTTATTTCCTATTCCTAAGCGGAGCGGCGATTTAAATCCTATCAAGAATGTCTTTAATGTAGTAAAGCGTGAGTTGAGAAGGCAAGCCATAAGACATATTACATCAGAGACATTTGAAGAGTTTGCACAACAAGTAGAAAGTACATTGTACTCGGTACGAAGAGAAGTTGTTGACAACACTGTCGCCTCAATGTACGAGCGATTAGATTTAATTTTAGAGAACAGAGGTCGTCGTACCAAATACTGAAGAAAATGATATTTGCTTTTCGGTCAGGGTATAGCATGGGGGGGCATATCGATTTAGAGTAACAGAGTTTAATATTTCCTTTATTTTGTAACGCAAAAAATAATGTCACGCTATTTAGGTTTAGTGTCACATGTTGGGAATCACTGCGTGACATTTTAAAGACAACCACAACACACAACAAAACCTTTGCTCGATTGTTATTTCTAGTCAATCCTATTTCATAAGAAATGCTTTCAAATAAAATTCACTCTGGAATTAGACACTTATCTTTGTCCTATTTCATTTTCTGACGGTCTACCAACACAACAGTAAGAAATATGATATCATATGTATATTTAAAGTCACTTGTTATGGTAGACCGTGTAGACCGTGTAGATCGTCAGTGCTTAGTTCGCTAGTTGTTGTCACTTCTGCCCTAACACAAACGAGCTTTACATCATTGTACTATAAAGGTAGCAAAGCATTTACAGCAGTTTCGCAATTCCTTTTGAACATCTTTTTGTATCTGTACATTTAAGTGAAAGATCTTCCACCTTACAGACATCATCTCCGTTTCTCGCTCATCGATCACGCCATTTTTAATATAAACGAAAGGCTGTTTTCCTGTACAGAAAATAGGAGTATCTTTCTCCAAAGCAATGTCCTTAGCATAATGAGTTTTGGGTGCCGGGAGATGCACCATCTGTCCTTGAAGCAAAAAAAGAAAATAATGCCACTGTATCATTTGAAATGACCAGCGAAAATCATTTAAGAAAATGCATTCTGCGTCTTCCGCTCCAACGCACGCAAAAGACGTGCAAGCGGGATTGCAAAAAGTTCTGTACACACTTGTCAGTGGGTTTAGTAGAAATGTCTTCCCCGTGTTTGCTGGGCCGCAGATCATAACATTTCGAAATTTGCTACGGCCTTTTTCCAGGAGTTCTTTTATTGCCTTTGTAAAAGTTTCCTTTCGAATACCGTTTTGTTGTAACACCTCACATGCAAAAGTGAGCCACTGTCCATGACAACCGTCAATACATTCGCCTTGTGCTGCTTCTTGTAAGATTTGAACACGAGTTTTCTGTGATCTTTCCAGCTTCTGTTGTGCGTTCCGCATTTCCCACGCTGTGGTTAAAACCTCTGAGACCACGCGGGGCCCTCTGTTGACGATAAACTCTGCAATGTCGTTTTTCCCCTGGCACTTTTGGTTGTTCGCACAAGCCAACAGTTGCGTGCGAGTTTTTATTTCCTTTGTTACAATTATTTCTGAGAGTTCAAATGAAGACAACCGCTTTTTCCTTTTTTTACCTTTCGAATCACTTTCATGGTATGTCTCGCTCGCGTCATCAGAAGGACTTTCATAGAACTCCTTCGAGAATTCCTCTTCATCGTCATCACTATCTTCAATGTACTTTTTCCGGCAAAGTGAGGCCGTTTCAGTCTTGGGGCCTTTACAATCGGACAAGTCGGGATGACCGTCACTTTCCACAACAAATTTATCCTTTTTTGTGGTGTATTTCCACGCACTGTAATAGTTATGATGTACGGCGGAGAAGTGCACGGAGATACCGTAGTTTTCTTCTAGGTACCGTTTACAAGACAACCACCTTTTACAGCGCTGTAACTTCACTGCCATATGATAGTGGTATCCTCCCGTGGATTCGTGCACTTCCTTGCAACAAACCCAGTGTTCAACGTTTGTGTTACTACTGTTATAAGAGCGGAGAACAGCTTGCGCGAATGAATTTCTGTCAGGGAACTTGTGTAAATCCACCTGACTATAGGTGATTAAATACACTTGTCGGACAGCTCTCACATTTAGAACACTCGTTGAAGCCCCCCCGTCGCTAGCTTTAACGTCAATGTTTGTGCTGTTATAAACATCTGTCGTTACCAAATCACTACTTTCATATTCCTGCAGAAAATCCATTGCAAACCACTTAAGCAGCAAAGAAATAACCCCGTAACCCGCGAGCCGCGCGAACATCGATGTTGTAGTCTATGCAGCGTAACTTTCAAATCACCTTAGTGTGATAACGCCAAATGTTGTGAAATATGACTAACTTGAAATAATTCCTACAAATTAGGGAATATTCGAGACTACCTTCGATAATGTTTGATTTCCAATATTGATTACCATGCATCAATCTCTCTCCATTTAATGACAGACGATCAGAACGCACTGTTCCTTTATGTACCTTTCTAACACGTGAGTAGTGCCTTATCTTGTTCATCTAAGGACTCTGTTTGCTCAACCAACGCGCGCAAATAAACTTGTTTCACCTTTTTTTTCAGTAAGTACGTTTAAATGACATCGTTACAGACAAATGAAATGGAAAAAAACTCATGCCGCTTGTTTATTTGTCAATGCGGGCATGTTTTGTACCTTGGTACCCGAAAGAAACGTCAGTCACGCCGATTACGTCATCCTTAAAACACCCGAAAATTGCCTTTTTTCGTTTGCCATTTTCACATCGCACAAACCAATATCAAGAAACCCTATTTTTTGGGAACTCCTCCTAAATAGACATCACTACATTAACTACTAAGCCGATCAATAAAAGAACCAGCTCCCTACACATGGTCACAGTACTCAGACAACCAGTTGCAAAAATGTTGAGACACTTGACCCGGAAAACACTCTTTCTTCCTAAACATCGCATAAAATCCTACATTTCTAAGATTAAGCAACTCCCCTCACCCTCCCCTATTTTCAATGTTGTTCTTCGAAAATTTCAGCATGATCTCCTATTGTGACCAATTTTGAGAAGGGAGAGGGGGGGGGGGGGTCTAAAATGCGAGGGCCTTATAAGTACCCTTGACGTCCAAATTAGGTACAATGTCTCAAGTCTTTTTGCAACTGGTTGTAGCAAGACAAAACCAAGGCAAATTGCCATTATGACGTGTTTTGGATGGTGTTAAGTCTGTCTTGGTTATGTATGACCACAGTAGATGAGTACAGTCCCATGGGCATACTGAACATTGAAAAAAGGGTCGCTTCTTTGGAAAATAATCACCATGTTGCAGCTCCCTGTTACCCTTGCCTAGGACTGTATTTTGCTCTTATTCTTGAGCACGCTAACTTATGGCCATGAACTCAAATGAATAAATCCAAGGTGACACTCAGCGGCAATTTAACACAGGCAGTGCACTTAAGATGGACGACACCACAACTTCTCTGTCTGAATTACCCTGATTTCCGGACAAAGATTTTTTTGTAATCTGGTTAAGCCGCAAATGCATTGTTGAAAATGCGGTCATGTATTGGTCCGATGGACGTGTTATTAGTTTCAAAGGAAATGAAAATAAAAGCATTATCAGGAAGTCTGTTTCAACCATGCACATGACATAATATTGTACAGTATCACTGACTTGAATGTCATGGAACTGGTTCAGGCAATAAAGTATGTTGCAGTTGTATTTACAATCTGTTTGCATAATACGAGTGAAAAAAAGATAATCTCATTCTGTACAGTCATCAAGCAAGTCACACAGAGACAGAATTAAGGCTTTGCATGTTTAAAAAAGAGCACTGTTTTGGTCACAAACTTGATTTACAGTATGAGCCAGTCAGTAAGTTGACCTATTTCATATGCTTTGTCACAAATCTCAATGTGATACAGTTCAAACAGCTTGAAAAGGGATTCATCTTGAGTAGGTTTTCTTTGCTGTGCTTTTGCGAGTACACAATCATTTCTCTTGCAATGATACCAACAATACTGACTTTGACACCTGCGATGGAAATTAGTCTTTGGGAGAGTTAACTGAAAAACTAGCAATAACAATCACCAAAAATACACTGAATAATAACGAAAGAACTCCATTAGGGCCCATAACCCTTACCCTTTGAGCTATTCCACCGAGCCGAATAACATAAGAAAGAAATTATGACAAGAAATTAAACATACAAACATAATTTCACTGGAAAATAGTTCAAAGAAAGCAGCAGAAGACATGTTTTCTCTTTCGCTGTGATCAGTGAACAACGCTGGATAAAAACTATCCAGCAAAAGAAAAAAACAGACGATGCGTCAAAGTTAGCGGAATGAATCCGCCATGTTGTTTCTCGTCCTCACATGAAAATTGTTGCTGATATACACATGAAAATGCCTCCGTTACACAAATATAGCACTGAATATAAAACATGCGCACTCACCGGCTTGACAGGCTTGTCTGGAAGAGTGTGTCTTGCTTTCAGGGCCAGAAAACAGCTATGGATTTCTTTTTGGTTCTATTTTTCTTCCATTTTCTTTCCATTTTTCTTCCACGTTCATAATAGCCAGGGCAGTCCCCGGCCCCCGGCTCTTGATGCTAGGTTTCATACTGATTAACATACTTAATTAACATCTAAAAGTAAAGTTAACAACTTTATTTATAAGTCGCTACTGAGAAAAAGAATCTCTACACCCATTAGAAGCCAAGAGAAGTGGCTCAGTGACCTTCAAGTCAAAAATGCAAGTGAGATTGATTGGAAAGATGCAAACACAATCGCTTTCCACTGTACGGCTTCTACAAAATTAAGAACTTTTCATTACAAGTTTTTGCATCGGAGGAATGATGTTAAACAATTTTTAATTAAAAAGGGCCTCAAGAGTACTGCACTAACCGATCTGCACATGACGGGACTCTAAATTTGCACCCTCTACCCCCATTGATCTCGTTATTCTTATTGGGAGACATCATATATACTCGAGCAAACTTACAGGTACGTCTACCTCCATGACTCTTTTTAAGGGCAAACTAAATTCCGTCATTGAAATGGAACAACAAGAAGCACTCCGCTGTAATTCTTTCACCATCTTTTCAAACAAATGTAAAATTTTTTCTTATTTAAATTTGTTGCTTGCACTTGTTACCCTCTAACTAATCGCTTTGACTTAGCCATGTGTCGTGCAAAGTTGAGCCATCCACCATTCACCGTCCTTTCCTTTTATTGTAGCTAAGCGAATTCAAGCATAAATGTAACCACAGCTATTTTTCTGTTTGTTTCGTCAAGTTGTAATATGTATACGTTTTGTGATGGAAATTTAGCTTAAATAATAAATTAAATTTTAAAAAAGGTTTCATACCTGTGGTTATTTCTCATACAGATCAGTTTCATGTGATTTTAAGGACAATTTCATAGTGTTAGTGTTGTTTCCCTTACCTCCATGAAAGTGGTGAGGGATTAATTTTCATGAGCCATTAAGATGAAAAGGCCATGAAAGATCATGGTCAATGAAAATTTTCAATTCAAGTCATCAGTACTCCCTTTTATGACATAGTCTTCATATGCAACATTCTGCTGAGAGAATTAATGCCTGTCAGATATAGAAAATGCATTAACTTTTCCCTTCAAAAACTCTGAAGTACAACGCCTTACCACAATTAACAAAAAACTTATATTACAATAAATATATGTTAATCATGATAAAATGAAAATTAAATGTTATATTATTCATCTTGTTGAAAGGAAATAGTTATATTGTATACATGTATTAGAATTTTCCTGCTTTGAACATGAAGTGAAGTTGAAGTTATAGGCAGCCGACTCTGGAAAAGTAAGTGGCTGTGACAATATTGAGGGGCTGCAAGTTGTGAACTAACAATATCATAGTAAGGATAAACTATTATTGTTGGTCACTCTAGGGGGTTGAAGGGCAAGGAATACCGGTGTTTGACTGACTATGTTGGATTGCTGCATACTGTTTCTATGTACAAGTATCAACAACCTGTTTCTTTGGAGAACTTTATGATCTGAGTGAATAGTAAATCCTTCTTTTGCATATCATACCATGTAAGTGCAACCTAAGTATTTAAGGAGGTGTACGGGAAATCAACACTTACGTTTTTCTTTCATTTTATATCTACAACAACTGTGACGAAAGTGTATTAAGACACCAGCCTGACTCAAATTAGCAGCAAACTGTCTGATTTCCTCAAAAAGAATAGGGTCAAAAAACCTGAGAAGACTGATAAGTGTTAAAAATATAGGGCTTGTACATTTTATTTTTTTAAAACAGTTGATAAGTCTTTAAGTGCTTAAGAAATATTCAAGTGTTAAAACTTAAAATAGTTTGTAGTCTTAAAATTACTTTTTCTTTAATAATGTATATTAGATCAAAGGTCCAGAAAAATAAGTTACAGTTACCACCTTTCCTTTTTTTTCTTATAGACTTGTGTGGAAAAGTAAAATTTATCATTCTTAATGACATTTTCAATATTAGAAATAAAATGCATAGTATTTATGATAATATGAATTAGAGTGTGATCTGAATACTTTTTACAATGTGAGGTTACTTTTTGCTGATTGTCAATCGTATGATTACAGGGTTAGTTTGCTCTGGTTATAATTTAGAGGGCAGCTGTAAAACCTCTGAATCAAAGGTGCCAGCCAAGCTGGCCCTGGCATTTACAACTGTTTAATGGTCAAGATTATGGCTGGCTTCCCCGGCTAGCCTGGTCGAGCCAGGCCATTTGCTTTGTTGTGGTATTGGCCGGGCTGGCTGCATCTTCCTCGGCTTGCCTGTTCAAGCCGGGTTATTTGCTCTGTTAAGGTATTGGCCGGGCTGGCCGCAGCTTCCTCGGCTAGCCTGGAAAAGCCAGGCCATTTGCTCTGTTATGGTATTGACTGGGCTAGCCGCGGCTTCCCCGGATTTTTATCGCTTGGCCAGCCCAGCCTGTGGCCGGGCTGACTGAGGCTTTTGGGCCAGGCTTTGACCCCGGTCTTAACAAATATTTGTTTTTTTGTTTTCTCAATTTCATTACTTATTAGGCTGTTACAGACTCAAGGATTTCAATTAACTTCATAAATATTACATAACTCACTACTTAGATGAAGACACAAAACTTATTTCAAAGTTCGTGTCTGACTGAAGTGGGTCAAAGACATTGTAGGATACCAAATTATCAAGAGGCACTGAAGCGAAGGCTTGATAGCTCAGTGCTAGAGCATTTGTAACTGTGTTTCAAAGGTCATGGGTTCAAATCCCATTCAAGCCATTGTTT